TACATTATACTGATTAGACGTATAAATTCCGTATGTTTTTGCATACGGAAAAAGACGATTTTCAGTATCTAGTATACAGAAATATTTACGAATTTATTATACTGTTTTTCTACATTTATTATACGTTTTTTAAACGTATTATTTCTGTATACTTTCCTTATACATATTATTTATAGGGCTTCTCATGTAATGTATAAAATTCCTCTTTATTTATATCTGAACTTTCTAAATTCATGGAGATTGGTTGAATCGATTCTAAAGGATGTATCTGAGTAATAGGTGGTTTAGAAATACGAACGGACTTAGACCTGAATTTTTCTTTCAGCTTAGTCCCTCTAATCTTTTTCGCCTTATTGCTTAAAATAACACTCCCCTCTGAAGCCAAATCAGTAGATATACTAGGCTCAACCTCAATATTGCGTATCTTTTTCCCAGTTCTTTAAAGGATGATGTATTTTGGCTATGTATATCTGATTCAGTCTATTCAATCTTATTAGTTTAGAAATTCTCATCCAAAACAGGCTGACTGGAAGAAAATGAAATAACTCTTTGCTAGAGACATTCTTTATTATCTCATATTTCATAAATACGTTTAGGTCTGATATGAAATTTATCAGCAATTTTTTTGATGCATTGGGTATCTTATCTCTTGATTCTCTAATTTTCTTGATATCAGCTTCTGATAACAGGGTTGCCTTAGCATCATAATATGTATTATGAAGATGGGCTACTATCTTTACTTGATTTTATACTAGAAAAAATATTAATACTTTTCAATAAATATCAATGCATATCAATATGTACATATCAATACTTTTCAATGTGTATTAATATATTTCAATGCCTATCAATATGTATTAATACTCTTTAATATATATTAATATGTTTTCAATGCCCACCAATATGTATCAATATGCATAATATTTATAAAAAATAAAGTACTTCTGAAATTTCTGGAACTATACGATCTCAAAAAATTACAACATATTTTTTTTTCTACTATATAATCATGCCAATATTATGTCTAATATGCGTACACTGAAAGATATAAAAGATAGAGAACATCAGCTGGGTAGTGCATATAAGTAAGAACTTGAAAAAAAATTAAGATCTGTTACCAAATTTAAATCTAAGATTAATGATATCACTGAAAAGCTAGTAAATAAGTACAATAAGCGAGAAAAGGAGTTTCATCAAATCTATGCTGATATTAGAAATAAAGTTAGCCAGTTAAATGGTATAAATACTAAGCTTAGATCCCAATTTACTTCTGAACAGAAGTTCCATTCTGAGAGTTAACGTGAACATGAAGCAAAATGATCCAATTATTTTGCCAAAATCAAATCGCTCAAATCAAATATTAAAACACTAAAGAGAGAGGCAACTTTAGTGCAGAAAGCTTCATCTGCTAATAAGGTCAAGATACTTTCTCGTAAAGCTAAGGTAGTTGAATTGAAAGGTAAGTTGCTAGATCTGGAACTAGAATATGATTCGCATATATTAGGAGGATTACTAGAGGAGTCCAAATAGACTCATTCACAATAGAATCCCTCAGGCTTGAACTGGAGCGAATAAATGAGGACCTTAATTCAAAAAAATATGAAATAGAATGTATGGAAAAGGGATAGAATCATCAAATAATATATACAATCAGACGATAGATTCTTTATTTTCAGCACAATCAAATTTACTCGAGAAAAACGCTTATCTTCAATAATTACTGTTGAAGAAAAAGCTGAGAGGCACTTTACATATAAAGTAGATACCATCCCATCTGTGAATACTTTGTCACAACCTTCTGCTCTTAATTCTCCTATATTTCAGACAATTTCTATGGGTAACACAGAAGCAGTTTTAGTTATCCTTATTGTTGCAGATTCCTTAATGTTACCGATATTAATATATATTATGCTTACTTTATTACTTCTCGCAATTATATGGCTCGTGATCGGGAGAAGGATATGGAATTTATGAAAAAAAGTAATACTAAGTATTTTCCTAACTGAAACTATTTTTTATCATCTTCGGGCATTTTTAAGGCCAAGTTGTATGATTAGAGGCCAGAAGATCGAATATAGGAATTGAAGTTAGCTGGTATTATTGCACGAGAAAAAAATATGTAAATAATATTGTAAGTTTCTTAGCTGAAATTGCCACATCCCGCTAGAATACTTAACAATATAATTCGATAATTTCGTCTATATCCACTTCAGATGAATTATCTTTTTTGTCATCTTGTAACTTCGATAATGTTTGATAGCATGTAATTTTTAGGCCAACTACTTTGTACCATGTGTTTCACAAATCAGCTAGTAATTTACACTCATCTGAATAAAATAATAAATATTGTTCTATGGTTATGACTTTTGATTTGTGCTTACTAATCTTAATAACTAATTTATACATACTGTCTCTATACTCTATATCAATCTTGAAAATTTCTTTAAGCAATGATAAAAGTTTTAAGTGGATAGAATCCTCTTGCTTATCTAACACATTGAGGAAGGAAGTGTAATAAACATTATTTTCTGAGCATTTTACTATTCTATCAGTATAAGTAGTATCAAATAAAGTTTTCGCATAAATACAGACTCCTCTCCATAGATGAGATATAATAGCTTCGTTTTTTTTTTAGCCTTCATGAAGGTTTTTGATTTAGCCTTTAACCCACATTTCAGCTGATTTTTGCAATAAGACATCTCTTATTTTTGATACCTTATCTTCATCCATTTCGTCTTAATCCTCTTCATTTTCGTTCAAGTCATCGCTTTCATTTACCTCACCGTCATTCGCTTTATTATCACCTGCTTTATTATCATTTTTTAACTTTTTTAAGGCTTTTAGTATAATTTCAGATAATAGTTGGTGTCTATCATCATAGTTTATAAATTGTGTACAGAGCCTGATAACACTTTTCAGATAATAGTTAATATCAATCTTTTTATTAAGATGTCTTGCTACTTCTGGGTATTCCATTTTGTCACCTATCTTCTTGATGAATTATTCTCAACTACAACATATTCAAACCGCTCACCTAGTTTTAGGATTTCATAAAGATAAGGCTCAGATGCTAAGCCCTTTTTTATGAGCTGTTTGGCATCTGCCTCTTCACGGATATGTCTATCTTGCATTCGTAAAATGAAGCACTGTACACTCTTGTTATTTTTATCAGGCCTCTATACAGCGGTTTTTATTATTTCATTAAGATCTGTTTGCAAAATATCCCTTACAGTTTCTTTGAGCACGTCCTCTACAACCTGATGCAAGGTACATGTATTGTTTACCCTCGTAAATTCTTCTATAAATGTTTTCCTATTTTGCGGAAAATACTAGACTGTTCTCGCTTTACAGTCTCAACTCCCTGGATGAAAAGCTTGTTATTAAAGTTTAGCTTGCTTATATGCAGAATGCTGTAGTATTTTTTCTTTCCAGTAAATACTACTGGAAATAAGACTTCCTCATACGCCATATTAAGATAAGTTGATCTATTATCTTCCCTAAGAAAGTCATTAACATCATTTCGAAGCTCGCTCATTGCCTTCATAGATATTTTTACCATCTTCTCCTAGTACTTTTCCTTCGATATTTTTTCTGAAATGTATTTTTCATCACACTCCCGGAAATATTTTTCTGGACAAACAAGGTATAATGAATCGGTATTCCACTATTTTACACTGAACCTTTTACTTCTGACAAGATCAGCAATAAGCTTTATATTCTGCTGACCAGCTGATATTATTCCACCTGCTAATGCTCACAAGAAGAAAGGGAATCTGCTATTCCCAGCTTCACTATAAAACGTATTTATATACACTTTTAAAGCAAGTGATTTTGCATTTAGACAGGCGATAATAAAGGAAACTGAAGAGTTTTCAGATTTTAAAACATCTGTAACGTCCTCACCCCTTGCTTCTGTTAAACTAATCTTCTTTTCTAATTCTTCTTTTCTATCATTTAATAGAGCAAGATGTCTTTTTAGAGAATTTCGTCTAATAAGCAACTCCTCTAATACTTTTGGATAAAGGCTTTCATTTCAGTTTAGTTTCCATGCTCTATAGATCATGAAAAAATATTCCGACCATTGTATTTGAAATTAATTTCATGAAAATTTTTATCTCTTTTCTTTAGAGATTCAGTATACTCTCGAGATAAAATAATTTTATCAGGTGAGAGATTGTATGTCATGATAAGGCTTAGATATAATGATGTCTATTTCAAGACCCTTTACCAGTAGGAAAACATAAGCTCCAGGGTATTTCACTGTTTCTATTTGTTCACATGGAATTGTATTAGTTAAAATCCCTTCTCATCATGCACCGGCACTTAAAAGATTTTGCATTTTCATTTCTATTGCAAAATAATGTGAATCATATAATGATATGAAGGCTACAGATACCACCTCCCTGTACTCATTAATTGCATTACACTTTACCATTAATCGCTGACAGCTAATGGTATCAATAATACAATATTCAACTATTTCACGCATCTGCTCGGCTGTTGTAGTATTGGTTTCTTTTAACACCCTTTCATAATACTTAAACATATGATGAATATGCATATTCAGCTTGTTATCAAGTTTATATTCCTTTAGGTGATATGCTAAACTGCTCTTTTCAGCCTTAGGATAGAATTTCATAAAACATGATCAGATATCAATAGCTACGTACCCAGATATTTTAAGATGCTTCGAATAAAAATCCCTATCATTGACCTTTATCACATTATATTGATATTGCTATTTTACTATTTTTTCAAGGCTTGAAGACTTTAATGACATTTGATTGTATATCCATTCAAAAATCCCTAGCTTTTTTGCTTTCTCTACAATAAATCTCTAGTCATATTATGAATTGTTAAATCGTATTTGTATATCTAAGACTAGTAGTTTTCAATACAAAGTGAAGGCTTTTAACAGATTTACTTGATTCCTGCATATAATTGTGATGTAACGTAGGTCTGACGCAGTTTCAACATCTATAAGACAAATTTGCTTTAGTGGATTGGGATCATCTTTCCAATGAACTGATATGTAGATCATAAATACGTTAGATTCATCACTTTGTACAGTGGGAAAGTTGCCTAGTTCAAGTGAACTATATGTTTTTATGTCTTATGTGAGAACGAGAGTTGGATCTTATGAAAGGGCTGAGGATAATAATGGATTATTATAATCGTCCTCACTTGTTGGATTGTAATTATTCACAGAAACTTGGAAGAGATAAGTACTCCCTTGAATATATTCGTGGAAATAATTACTTAATGTTGCCTAACTTGAAAGAGGTAATTTTTTTTCACAAGCTACTTTGCAGTAATAATACTGGTAATTTAGATTATCTGAAGCTGTATGTATACTAATAGCGCAGAATGCTTTTAATGCATTATACTGATTAAAATAATTCCAAGTAGTAATACAGATATATGGTTTCTTTTCTGGATAATATCTTTGAAGTAAAATGTACTAATAATATTAATCTCAAATTTCGATGCACCTCTGGGGGTATTAGATAATATCTTCACTAATTTGGTCTTAAACATAGATAGTGATATCTCTTCAGGTACTACAACATCAAAGAAAGGTTTAATGTCCATAACATTCACAATAGCCTTTTGCCTATTAATTAAATAACCACTAATACGCAAATATAGGTGAATACTTCATTAATGTATTTGACCTCATCACTTACAGCAGTAGGCATAAAGTGTACAGATTGCTTATTAGATAAACATTGTTGATATCCTGTTATTATATTCTGCTATGATCTTATTACATAATAGAATACTGGCTATAAACTCAGCGCTATCATAGCGGGCGAGCATTAGGTCAGTTTCATGATTTTGGTTAGAAGTAGTTAAGATATACATAGTATCAGTATGTAAAACTTTATATACTCCAATATATTTCCGAAATGTTTAATTTATTTTTTTTCAATAGATGCAAAAAAGATGTATAGCAGATTAGTAAAAAAATTGTAAATAAACATATTTTTAATAGGTGATACTTAGGGTAGCCTTCTGTGTAATCTATTATATAAATATTAGCAAAAGGTTATCCCATCACTAGTATGTAATTGGATATATGTATTTTGGGTAGCCTTTTTCATAATCATTATATAAATATTGGAAGAAGACTATCCTATCACTAGTATGTATCTGGGTATATGTATTTGGGTAGCTTTCTTCAGAAATATTATATAAAATAATGGAAGAAGACTATCACAATACTAGTATATGCTCAGATATGGGTACTTTTATTGACATATTTATTTTTCATCCTTCAAAATGAGACATATAGCAAGCTAGTAAGCAAATCATAAAAGAAAGACAAGTAAATATGTATCTGAGAGTAAAGTCTTCTTCAGAAATATTATATATAAAATTGAAAGAAGACTTCACTTTCTAGATATGTGTTTGGCTACGATATAATCTTTTTATAAGACTTATTCGCTTAATTTCAACTAACACTATTCTACAATTTAGGCCAGAACTTTGGATATAATATTTTAGCATTCAAGTTAGCATAAAATTGGTGAACTAATTGAACTTCTTTAGTTTTCTTCCAGTCCTATAACAGTTCTAGGAGAGTTCCATAACATTACCAGGACGTTATTATGATGCTATCACGACATCAAATTAGATCCTCAAATTAAATGCCATAACTAGAGTTATATCATAGAGCTAGCTAAAATTAATCGCCAATACTCTGTGTCACCTATCGCCTCTTTTTTTACACTATTTAAGTATTTTAAAAGGCAACCAAATAGACGCAAAGGATAAGCGTTTCAATATAGAATCAAGAATCAAACTAGATACAGATAGCCAGCATCCTTGATATAAAACTAAGTATCTAAATAGCCACAGACGACTAATAACACCTATTATAGAATTTAATATGTAAATGACTTAGAAACAAGAAGAAAGGCATGGTATTCAGATTATATGATGGTAGTTAAATTAAATGGTAGGTGGTAGTTAGATTATATGGGGACTTTGCAATAGAAAGGGGGAAACTGCCGGAAAAATAAAAAATGAGTTAATGCTAAATTTGAACATATTTCAGCCTAAAAATCATATTTGGCATATAAAAGTAAAATTAATTTTTCCAGCAGTTTCCCTCCTTTCTATTGCAAAGGCCCCATATAGTGATAAAAATGATGAATAACAAGAAAAGTTAAAAGGAATAGCTAGAATATAAAATAGATACCAAAATACAGAATATATAGATTATATGGTGATATTTAGATTATATTATTTAGATCGTATAGTGGTATTTAGATTATATCTTTTATATTATATGGTGTATTCAGATCATATAATTGTACTCAGATTTCATGGTGGTATTCAGATCTTATGGTGGTATTCAGATCACATGATGGTATTCAGGTTATATGATAGTAATATAATCTAAGGTAAGTGGGATACTACCATGTAATATAATTATATTAAATGGTGGTATTCCACTAGTATCAATGACATATTTTAAAAAATCTAGATAATTATCAAACTTTCACTTGAAAAATAAAGCTTTCTTTAGAAAAACAATATAAAATTATCTTTTTATATGAACATCCAGCTGGACTAAAATTTAGTTTTGAATTTATTGTTAAATAGATATGCTATAATAAGTTTACAATTATTTATTAAGTTAAAAGATACCATAAAAATTAGAACCTAAGTATTTTAGAAAGACTGGATTGACTTTAAGTAATAACCATAAAATAAGATGAGAAAATTATAAAGATGACAAAGAAAGAACATAATATAACAGTTATTCAAATACAAGTAAAAATGGAAGAAAAAGGTATTAGGCTTAGTGTAGAAATAGTAAGACAGTGTTTTCATAAGTCTGAAGAAAAGTTTAGTAATAAAAATTTTAAACTTTTGCTTAAAAAAGACCATTGAAAGAAAGGCTGCAATAGGCAAAAAAAATATAAGAATTTTGATTAGAATTGAGTTATTTTTATAGATAAAAGTACATTTTAATTATAAAAAAAGGTTTGGCAGTTTTCTAGAAAAAAGTATTTTGTTTTGTTAAGCATCACCAAAAGTTCATTTTTGGCAATGTTTTTCTGTTTCTGGATTTGGTAAGTTATTTTGCTTTTAGAAGAACTTTAATGTATACTATTTATGAGAAGGATCTTCTGACTTTCACTTCTAAACTTTTTGATAAAAGTAACATTGATTGGATCTTGTAAGAAAATAATGATCCAAAGTATTGGTTAAAAATCATGAAAAAATAGAAGAAAAAAAATAACATTGAGGTACTTTCTTGATCATCAATCTTTAGACCAAAACCCTATAGAAAACGTTTGAAGATTAATGAAAATTAATATACAAAAAAAAAATCTAATCAATTAGAGGGTTAAAAGGAGAATTTACAAAGGAATGAAACTGTTTGTCACTTGTACTTATCACGAATTTGATAGCTAATATAAAAAAACATATAGCTACACTTATAGAGGCAGATAATGATTATATAATGTATTAATTTTAGTTAGTTAGTTATGTATTTATTAAATAAATTTTTTTTTTAAAATTGCTTATTTGTAACCAGAGTTAGAATTAGTCAGATATTTATAATCACTATTATAGATAATAAATTAATAGAATTCTTTTGTGATTTTATAATAAATTAGTTTAAAAAAAAACTAAATAATAAATTTTATTAATTATTTATTAAAAATTTAAATAATAATAAATATTATATATAATGTATATAATTATATAAAATATTTATTAATACATTATTTGCAAATGTAAATATTAAAATTATATTTAATAATTCAGAATGGGTATAAATAAATTGTTTAAATAAACCCCTGAAATCAATTTTTTTTTGCTTATGTATGTCGATCCATTGATTATTTACCTTCCTAATAAGAAATGTTTTTCAAATTGATACAGATCTGATGCCAATCTTAATAATATTACGAAAAATCCCGATTTTGATATATTGTGGCGTAGACAATATGATTGGACTTTGATTGAACAATGAAGGATGACGCTATTATTTGTTAATTTGGGAAATTTATAACTAGACCAAGATTTTATTTACCAAATGTTGATGGCAAACAATATTTTCATTTTTTCACTTGTTTTATTACAAACGCTTTCTTTCCTCCAGAAGGAAGATCCTTTAATGACAAATCGGCGATTTCAAAGCATTCACATAGATGTTATAATAACTTGCATGACATTTTAATTGGAAACCAATTTATTTTATGGAACCGGTCACTGTTATTCGAGGAAGGGTATATGTATCAATTAAACTAATTTGGGTCATTTGCCTTCTTACAAATCAATTGAAACGAACTTTAATCAAATTAAATTAAAAATATTTTCATAATCGGCCAAATAAATTACAATAGTGAACAAATGAAAAATTTAATTTATTTCTTTTAAACTAAGGGAACAAAAAAAAATTTAATTTAATTAATAATGAGTTTTTATTATGATATATATGCAGCTCACCTAATATGAAGAAGACATTCAAAAGTGAACATGAAAAGTAACTGAATAATAAATAATGAACAACGCATCATTTCATCATACAATCATTATTTGGTCGATTTAAAATGTATGTACGTTAAGTTATAGAACAAAACCCTTACATATAAGCTTATGAAAAAAATTTCCTTG